TTGTACTCACCTTCGCCACCAGTCCTGAGAACTTTCAGCTTTTGACCACAATATATTTTAGCCTTCACGTTGAACTTCTGAAACTCAACAAACTCCTCATGCTTAAACTTGATGAGTAATACCATGCCATTCTTTTGAAATCATCCAGAAATGAAACAAATTACTTGTTTCCTCCAAGTGAAGGTACTTCAAATGGTCCACATACATCAGAATGCAATACTCCCAAAGCATGTTTTGCTCTTGGAGCCACTTCTGATGCAAATGGAAATCTAGATTGCTTGCATTTCATGCATACCACACATGACTTCTCAGGCTTCACAATCTTAAAAATGCCATGTACCAACTTCTTAGAACTCAGATGCCCTAAGCTTCAGAGTTCAGATGCCACAACTCACTGTTACCTTTAGCATCTTCTGCACTAAGGCATTTAGTTTTAGCTATTTACACATTCACTTTGAATGTTCTGTTGCTTCTCTATTCAGATTGCACAATCATCTATTGATCATAATCATACAACTTCAAGAGATTTTCCTTCATAGTAACTGAGAAACCCTTCTCAGTTAGATGACCTACACTTATCAAATTGCTTTTCATTCCAGGAATATACCAAACATCTTTGATCAAAAACTTTTTTCCATTCTTCACTCGAATTTTGACATTTCTCATTCCTTCAGCATTAAGGTACATGTCAATAATACATTTTATCTTTGCCCTCTTTCTAGAGTAAAAATAAATCAGCCATTGTTTGTTTCCAGTTAGGTGATTTGAGCAGCCAATGTCCATATACCACCATCTGAATCAGAAGCCATCAATAGCATATGTTCATCATCAGAATCTCCTTTGGCTATGTTTGCTTCTTCTAATTTCCTTTCCTTGTTTGACCAACAGTCAGTAGCAAAGTAGACAAACTTCTTACAATAATAGTATTGAACCTTCTTCTTGTCAAACTTCTCCTTTCCCTTATGATGTTTTTTCTCACAGAGTTGGAAGCTTCTGACTTCTGATAACCACCACCATGTTTCTTCTTGGCCTCTGACCAAGACTGCTTCTGACTCTTCTTACTAGAAGACACTTTCAGAGCCTGCTTTACCGTTCTTTCAAAGTTTCTCTCAGTCAGACGCAACTCTTATGCCTCTAGAATATTTTGCACCTTTTTAATTCTCAAGGTGCCGAGGTCCTCAGAGTATTCAATTTCTACAACAATGTAATCAAACCTAGGACTAAGTGATCTCAATACCTTTTTAGTGATCTCAGAGAGAGTTTCTCCACAAGATTTCATCTCATTTATGATCAAAATCACTCTGGATATGTAATCAGGTTCCTTCTTATTGTTCTTCATATTGAGATTCTCATACTGATTATGTAGAGGCTAAAGTTTCACCTTCTTCATTGATGCATCATCGCCATAGCACCGTACAAGTGTGTCCCATACATCCTTCACCGTCGTTGAATCAACGATCTTCTAAACACATTGGTATCCACAGACTGATGAATATATAATAACGTATTTTAATCCTTCTTCCTTGTTTCTCTTCGCATGTTTGTTTGCACTTTTGTTGCATCTGTTCTAACCTTCGTGTAACCGTCATTGACGGGATCAATAACATCTTGGGCGCCAAACATCACATGTATTTGAATACTCCACTGATTCCAATTATTTCCGTCGAATATTGGAAGCTTTGTGTTCAAGCTACCATTTCTACCGTTCATCTTTGTTATGTGCAAATTCACTCAGATCTCACCAACACCAGTGTTTTCCAATCTCGTAGAATCAAGAAATGTAATTTTGTTTCAATTCTAATCTTCAATTCACTACGAATTGAATGAACATAATCAATCACACACGACTCACATACACTCGGGTTTCTTTGTAAATCGAATCAGACCTCTAGATACCAATTATAGGTGCCAAGAATGAAGAAGATGAAGATGATGTGTGTGTGTGTGTGTGTGTGTGTGTGTGTGTGTGTGTGTGTGTGTGTGAGAGAGAGAGAGAGAGAGAGAGAATTCTAACTAACTTTCTCTTCTTAACTGAAAAGAGTGTCAAAATGAAATTAGTTACAAACTGACACTTGATTTCAGTATTTATAACACTAGAGCAATTAAATGAAACTCAAGTTAACTCTAAATGCAACTTAAAATGAAATGTTAGCTTAAAATTTTTTAAAAACTATGTTGTGAATCTTGTTGTGAGTTACAACAAAATTCAATATCAATTTGTGAGGCAAAAAACAATAGCAACCAAAATAAATGGTCTTCAGCAATAATAATTTGTATACAGATACTATAACAGAATAAAGCAAGAAAAAACTAAATGTTTGGTTACCCAGTTCGATCAAACGATCTACTCTGGGAGAGAGAGTAGCTCTCCAATTCACTATACTCAAAAATTTGTTACAAGAGATTACAAATGAGTTACAAGAAAATAGCCTTTGCATTTAGGTTCCCAAGAACAACCCTGAAAGCGCCCAAGAACAACCCTATTTTCTACCCAAGTATTTCCCTACCTCTCCAACTCTTAATATATGAATCACTCAAACCCAAAGTGTAATTCAAAGTTTTCTTTGTGCACAACTGAAACTCTACGCTATACCTTTAAACCCTTGGTCTCCCTTATTGGTGAAAACTCTAAGATTGTCACACACCAAACATATAAGAGATACATATTTATAATAGCAAATATCCAACAAACAAAACCCAAAATCACATGGATCTATGAACCGAATCGAAAAAGCCCGAAAACTCGAAAACATTATTCACCGCAAGGTTAACACTATTCACGGTACGAATGTCACTATTCATTGTACGAATGTCACTATTCATCCGTGCAGATAACATTATTCATTTGTGCAGACTACACTATTCACCGACTGATTTTTTTCCTTCGACTTTTCGTCTGATTTTCGCGGTAAATGCAATCTCTAAAATATGTTTTCTTTCTCTTCATCAAAAAAGGTTTTAAGACACATTTACAACAATCTCCATCTTGACTTTAAACCGTGTTGGTACCGATTTAACAATCAACAACATTGCTGCTTTCTACCAAGTTGAAACTTTAATCAATAACTTTGATCAAATTCAAACAACCCTTGAATCTCGATCTCGCAACTTGCATCCATTTGTTCCCAATTACCCTTTTCTGCCTAGATAATTTAAAAAGCCTACAAGTATAATTTTTAAACCACCCTTGACTCCACCTGTTTTCAAATGCCTCCCTGGAGGTTTTTCTTCTTTTATTTTGTAGTCCTTCATCCACATTAAAAACATAATATCCAAGGCTAGCATAACCGTCCATTTGAGATGCTACAATAACCCTCCTTACCTTATCATGAGTCAAATGATAATCAGAGATCTCTGTAACTGTTCCCTCACGACTGCTAGCATCCATAGTAGAAAACTCCACTTCAAAGCGAATTTTCTCTGTTATAGTTTCTCCCAGGTTTTTCCCTTGATTTTCACTATTCTTCTTCTGGAGAAATTCTCTACCAACCAAGTAAGTTGTTTTAACCTCAGCTCTTCCCCAAAAACTCAATAACAACTCAGCGGTAACATGCATTTTTATCCCTTGATTTCTGTAAAATTCATTGTACTCCTCGTAAAATTTCTCAAGGCATTCATAACGCCTTAAACTCAAATCCCATAGGTCTTCCTTGTCATGAAAGCCTCCACTAGTTAACGATGAATGAATAATAACATTTGAACCTTCTAAAATATATAGACCACATATTTTAAACCCTTTAGCAATAATCAATTCATCACGCAAAGAATTCAATATCGCAAAGAACAATAGCAACTAAAATAAACGGTCTTCAGCAATAATAATTCGTACACAAATAATATAACAAAATAAGACAGGAAAAAATCGAAGGTTTGTTTACCCAGTTCGATCAAACGATCTACTCTGGGGGAGAGAGCAACTCTCCAATTCACTATACTCAGAAAGTTGTTACAAAATATTACAGATGAGTTACAAGAAAATAGCCTTCGCCTTCAGGTTCCTAAGAACAACCCTGATGGCGCCCAAGAACAACCCTATTTTCTACTCAAGTGTTTTCCTACTAATCCAACTCTCAATATATGAAGCACTCAAACCCAAGGTGTAATCCAAGGTTTTCTTTGTGCATAGCTGAAACCATATGCTATACCTTTAAACCCTTGGTCTCCCTTGTTGGCGAAAACTCTAAGATTGCCACACACCAAACATATAAGAGATACATATTTATAATAGCAAATACCCAACAAACAAAGCCCAAAATCACATGGATCCATGGACCGAATCGAAAAAAGCTTGAAAACTCGAAAATACTGTTCACCGTACGAACAACACTATTCACCATACGTACGTCATTATTCATCCATACAAATAACACTATTCATTCGTACAGACGACACTATTCATCGAGCGAATTTTGGTTTTTCGACTTTTCCTCCGACTTTCTAAAACTTCCAATTTTCGCGGTAAATGCAATCTCTAAAATATGTTTTCTTTCTCTTCATCAATAAAGGTTTTAAGACACATTTACAACATATTAAAAGGAATTATTTTAAAAAATGACTAATAAGTATAAATTACTAAAAATATTAAAATTTAGAGACTAATTTGCAAATTTATAAGAAACTATTAAAAAAATCAATTTGCATAATTTGATAGAATTAAAAAGAGTAATTTAAAATTGATATGGCTTAAATAAAAAATTAACAAAAAAAGAAGATACACCGATTGTGTAAATATTTTTTATACGATCAATTCATAACGATCATACATCCCGTCAAATCATACTAAAAATTTTAAACTAATTATCTAATAGAATAGAATGATATATTTTTATAGAATGACAAATAAATCCAAAAATTAATTACATATTCTTAATTTTCATGTGATATATGAAATGTTAACATCTGGTTGGTTGGAGTAATACCTTTGCATTTATTTAAAAGTGTAACCAACAATTAAGAAGATTTGAATTGTATTCTAATTAGTAAATCTGAAATATATATAGGTGTGAGCCATATGATCCACCAGCCTTTAGGGCATGGGCAATGAGAGGATGGTGCACAGCAGTTCCTCCAGTATTAAAGCTATTTAACAAGTTGATAGATAATGGATTTAAGGTAATACTCCTTACTGGAAGAGATAAAGAGATACTTGGTCAAGTTACCATTGACAACTTGCATAATCAAGGATTCATTGGATATGAACGACTCATTATGAGGTAAGCTCCTTGAATATGTGTGAATAATTTTTAAATATTAATTTAAGTTATATTTGGTTTAGCTTGTTTTTATATGATTTTAAACAATAAAAAAGACTTTATAAATGAAAATTAGAGCAACGAGTATTCAAACTCATATACAACTTAGATAAAAAAGAATTAAATGAAATAAAAGAAACATTAAATGATGAGTTAAGCTAATACAAAGTGAGACAATCAATTGAGTCAATACATCACTTAAAGAATAAATAATGCCTCTTTTGTTCTCACCAAAAACTATTTTCAAAAATGCACTTTAATGTGTTATGTTTTTGCTCCAAAGTTAAGAATTTATTTTCTCATTTCTTCCACATTTAAAACTCAAAAACAATGAATTATGTATTGAAAAAATTAATTAATACAGCAACAACAACTTTTCTTCCACATTTGACCACAACTTAGAGTTATATTAGTAACATTGACAATTTCTCATGTGTTAGAAAAAGTAAGAGAAATTACTATAAATTCCTAATAAACCATTTAATTAGAATTAAACTTAAAAAAAGTGAAATATTCAATGAATGTTTCAGATGATGTGTAAGGGCCACCATTAGATTTGCGTTGCTTATGAAAAAGTGTATCTAAAGTTATATCCATTGAATTGATGCCTAACCAAGACCGATTGAAATATAATATGAAAATCTACAACATTTGTCTTTGTAAAGAGTTAAATATACAATTGGCAGGACATGATTTTGATTACTTTAATAACTTGTTTTTATGCTATAATTTACAGGACAACGGTATATAAAGGACAAAATGCAGTAACATATAAATCAAATATAAGGAAGAACCTGGAGGATGAAGGTTATAGGATATGGGGTAATGTGGGGGATCAATGGAGTGATCTTCAAGGATACTCTTTTGGAAATCGTACATTTAAACTTCCAAATCCTATGTATTTTGTTCCCTAACTTCTTAATGTATGTTTGAACACACTTTTATTCTAAAAATATTAGTTATTTTTTATCTTAACTAGTGTTCACTTCATAGAGAAAAAATGTTAGAGTATGTATTGTTCAACTTCTTTTCTAGCTTATTACATATTTAAAAATAGAAAGAGCTTATAGGGTCAAGCCCAATTTATAAAATAATGCTATGATTTATTTATAAAGAAGACACTATAAAAAAGGATTTGTTAGTACCCAATTTTGTCTAAATATTTTTTAAAAAATTTAAATATTATCTGTTGTGAAACAATGTCGTCAATAACAGAGTAAAATTATGAGAAAAAGATTGAGTTTGTTGAACAAACACAAGAAATCCTGTCAGGTTTTACAAAAGGGAGAAAAAAAACAAGAATTAGAATAGATAATTGGTTAAAGTTGTTTTACTATTCAGTTTCTCAATAAGGGTTCAAAGATTACAAGTGAATACCAACAATTAACCTCTATCACTCTAATTAGGAATTTCACCACACCCCAAAGATGAGAGACTAGCATGTTATTTATAAGAAAACTAACATACTAACCTAATGACCTTTTGCACACATGTTCATTACACAAACTAACTTAGGGAACAAACTAACTTAAACAATTGGGCTTACAAACAAGGTCCAATTCGATATGCTAACACTCCTAGCATACTTTAACTACAACATGTGAACAGACATCGACAACATACTAATATTCTTTTGAATTATCGAACCAAGAAGCTACCATTCGATCATACAAGAGTTCAATCCAATATCACAAATCTCCATCTTAGAACAAACTCTAGAACATCAAGGGAACAAACTATCTTTCTTCATGCAACTTTATCAACTGCATACATTGAAAGAACTTGCTACTCGACAATGTCTTCTCCTTCTCTAATAGGGCGACATCCATCTTCTCTGATTATTTCAACGTTTCTAACAAACCCTGTTGACAAGAAAGACTTACATCTTTAAGCGCCACAAATTGAAATCTTCTCACCGGTGAATTTCTCAATCTCATACCTTGTTGACGACACCTTCTCCTCCACGTTCACCGCACCAGTTTGTTATGAATTACGATGTCGTCAATAACAACGAAGTTATGAGATAATGATTGAGTTTCTTAAACAAACACAAGAAATCCTATTAGGTTTTATAAAAGGGAGAGAAGAAGGAAGAAGAATAGAGAATTGGTTAAAACTAATTTACTATTCACTTTCTCAATAAGGGTTCAAAGATTACAAGTGAATACCAACAATTAACCTCTCTCACCCTAATTAAGATTTTCATCTCACCCTAATTAAGATATTTATCACACCCTAAAGATGAGAGACTAACATGCTATTTATAAGAAAACTAACATACTAACCTAATGGACTTTTACACACAGTCCCATTACATAAGCTAACTCAGGGAACAAACTAACTTTAACAATTGAGCTTACAAGCAAAACCCAATTCGACATGTTAACACTCCTAACATACTTTGACTATAGCATGTGAACAGACTTCAATGACATGCTAAGATTCTTTCGTATTGTCGAACCAAAAAACTACTATTTGTTCATTCTATAATTCGATCTAATATCTCACGTTATCTCTATTCAATTTTTAGTAAAAAAATTCAAAAAAATATAATTAAATTGAGAGGTTTATCCTTTTTTTACTATTAACTAAGCCAACTTTCTAAAAAAAGACTTTAATTTTAATTCTATAGCATTTATTATTATTATTATTATTATTATTATTATTATTATTATTATTATTATTATTATTATTATTATTATTATTATTATTATTATTATTATTATTATTATTATTATTATTATTATTTTCTTTTCTATAAAAATCAAAATATTTCTTTGTTCTAATGACAAAATTTTAATTATAAAAAAAACTACAAAATAATAAAAATAAAGAAAAATAGATTTAACAAGCAATGAGTGATCTTTTTATTTTATTTTATTTATAAAAGCTATTTTTTTAAAATATAAATTGACTCAAACACGAACCTAGTTATAATAGTTGATCCACAATTGTTTCTCTGCTTTAAAGATAATTGGGCTATCTTATGGGCCCGAACATTATCCAATCTACTAATATAGTCAACCTGCTCAAATGACCACAATCGTCTTTATTCTCTCTGTTTCTCCACTAATCCACCTGATCCACTACATCCTTGTTATGATTTAAGATCATTATCATAGTCGTCTTCTTTCTTTTGGTAAGCTCAAGATCTTTCACGATCGCTTGAGCTTCCACTTCAGAAGAATTTTTGTAACCCCATTGGCTCCATGTGTTGATATCTTCTAGCTATCCATGATCGTTATGATAAGCTTCTCCCAAGTTCCACTCACCTATCATGTAAATATTAACATTCATATGAATTTTGATTCTCCTGTCTTTCTAATTATCATGAGTCCACATATCTGAGCTCTCATTCGTCAACTCTGGCATGTCAACGTTAACCTGACTTATCAACTTATTTATGTCTTCTGATTTGCTCATTGTTTTAATCTGGGTATGATTCTCCTTTTTATTTTTCTCATTATTATTTTTGCTCTTTGAATACCAATAGAACCGGCCCAGAGGGTAGACCACTAAGGCTACCGCCTAGAGCCTCAATTTTTTTTCTTATATTCATGTGCTTGGTTTAAATTAATAGGTTCTTTACCAATTTTTTTTATAACAATTAAGTAATAACATATATTTAAATGTGTATACTAGTAACATCCATTTAGACTGTGTATAATATGATTTGGTTAATTTAAAAACCTTGCTGACAAATAACAAAATCTTAAGTTCTATTGTACAATAGAATATTTATTTTCAAGTATTTTTTTTAAGAATATTGACCATACTTTTTTTATTATAAACTTTTTGAATAGGGATCAAAAAAGTAGTTATATAAGTTTATTTTATAATCAATTAAATAGAAAATTTTAAATTAACTCAATTATAATAATTTAATAAATAACTTTTTTTAGATGTAAGTGTCATCTTCTTTTCTACTATCGGTAGTGATTTTACCTTTTCCTTTATCAATGTTTTAGTTCTCTTTTTTACTTATATTGTTCTTGTTTCCTTGGTAGGTAAAATAGTTTCTCTCTTGATGACTCACCCTACTATCCTCTTCTTAACTATTATAATCTTTAGCAATGTAAATATCCACTTTATTCCGATTAATTTTCTCCTTTTGCAAGTCCTGATTCACCTTCCTACTACTCATCTTCTCTTTCTTATTGTCACGCAAGTTGTTTCTCATCTTCTGATAGCTTTTGCTTTTCTGGTCTATATTAGGAATATGCTTATCCAGGTAACCCTTCTTCTCTCTGGCCTGATTGGTATCATGAATGTTATTTATCTCCTTCTTGTTGTTTTGATACTTCTAAGTACCACTAGTTATAGACATACATTGAATATTGTTTCTAGGCTCCCTCTTAATGTCTTTAGTTTGGTTAAAAATATATTGAATATGGGGATAAATTCTCTCAAAAACCATCTTATTACGTGCCAACTAGATGTTATACATGATGTTTAGAACATCCTTCATAGTGTCCTTGTCTTTCTTCTGAATGGTTTCCCATAACCATTCCTTTAGGTTATTGATCAGTGGTTTTTATACATTATTTTACCATTAGTTCTAGTTAATCATTTGATATGTCTCGTCGCATTTTATTTGTTTTTATTGTATTTTACGCGTTAGTTTGGTATTTTCACTGCTTTTAAGTTCAGGCAAGCGATAGAGAAGAATCGGAGCAAAAACCGAGTAAAACAGTAAGAATTTGGAAGAGTTTTGAAGTGAACCAGTAGCCTGACACGGCCACCCGTGTCATCTGACACGGCCCGTGTCAGGAAGTGCTCAGAAGTTGCAAAATAGGATGAAACCAGGGAGCTGACACGGCCGCCCGTGTCAGCTGACACGGCCCGTGTCAGCACACCTGGAGCTGAAATAATGTTCGTGCAATATAACAGGGAGCAAACACGGCCGCCCGTATCAGCTGGCACGATCCGTGTTGGCTAAAACGCTCCTTCTTCTATTTTCTTAGATTTTGGGCATTTGTGATCCCTGAGGGTATTTTGGGTATTTTCCTATTGCTGGGTTGGACCTGAGACTAATTAAGTTTTGGAAAGAGATAAGGGGACTTTTGGATGGTACGAAGAAAAGAAAACTGAAATTGGGAAGCTCTGGAGAATTGGGAAGACGAGGAGATTTTCATAATCGGCAGAAATTGAAGATCAACTTTATTCCCTCAATCTTGTAATGTTTCTATTTTCTATGTTATTTTTGTTGAATACTATGCATAGCTAAACCCTCATTGCTAGGGGGTGTCTCTGAATTGTATTGTAATGAACCTCTGTTGTATTTCTTAATGAGATTTTGTTCCTTTCCTTCATATTTTTGTTATGCAAATCGTTGAACTTTTTAAAGATCGTATAAATTAGACGATTTACGTTAGGGATTTGGCCTGAAAAACCGATCGATTATTTTGTATAACACATTACAGTAAATATTGCCTAGGAATAGGGATATCCTGTAATGATTGTAAAAAAACCTTTGTCAGAACTATTGCTTGATGTCTTTCCTTGACTGCTAAGGAATTAAGGTCAAAGAAGAATATCAAAGGTTTTTCAGTTAAGGAATTTAAGAAAAATACTTTTGAGGTGTAACAAAAATTAAGGTTTTGTGACATGTCTCATTGATTTACTCCAGGGCTCGTACTAAGCAATCCATACACTTCCCCTAACATATTTTCTCTTAATCGTTAAAATAATTTTATCATTATGCTTTTTCCTGTTAAAAACCCCAAGGTTATTTTGTTTGATTGAAATAAAAACTGTACCTGGAAAATTTACACGCAGTCCTCAGAGATTGATACTGGGAAAACCCCAATTATTACTACATCAGTATAATTAGTACACTTGCTAATTTACCGGTCAGTTATCTTATTTGATATTATGGAAATTCAGGTTTAGCTTAGATCCAAACCAAATCCTT